TCAACATTTGTCATTTGTATCACTTACGCTTTGATCAGCAGGTGATAGCGCCAGAAACACTTGGGAAGCATATACTGGTGAGTTCCAAGGGACTCAGATTTGCAGCGATTTTCAGCTTATGCTAAAGGCACAAACCTTTCATCCTGGAAGTCGTGAGCTCTGGAAGCTGCCAATTTATTGATCAGAGGGGTGTCTTTTGACCTGCTTCTTAAGGCACAGACAAAATAGCGTTCGACTGTTGACTCAGTCTGCATCGAGAAAATTTCCGGATTCTCTTCTTGTTGCTCTTGGAGGGCAAATGATAGAAATGCAGCTATCAGAAATTTCAGATATACCTTTACGGAAGTTGATGTTGTCGACTTCTCCTGATAGCCGAGTAGTTGTTGCGAGGTAAATTGCGATTCTTTTGTTGAGTTTTTATCCATTTGCGTTGTCACAAAGTGTATTGGTAAGTGATTGCTTACAGTCGTTTTTGTTAGAAGGATTGGTGACCACTAGGGAGATGGAACGATGAAAAGGTGGCATATATTGTCCATGATATTCTCTAGAAGAGTGGTGAAGCAGGCGTGCATTGGACTGGGCTGGTCATGTTCCTTCCGTCGTATCGGTGTGGCAAGTAATGAAGGCTGCCGTTTTTAATTGTTTATCGACTGCATGGCTGACGGGATGTTTGGTTTGTTTGTTGAATAGTTGGCGGATAAAATTCTGTCGTGGTTCTGCCTTCGATTCCCTTTTACTTGGAATCCTGCCTTGCCGCCTTTGAAAGATCTCTGCGATGTTACTGGAATGATTTTTTCACTGTCAATCTGCAATACAGATCTACTATAAGACAGAGAAGCCTTAGAATAGCTTTTGGCACTGGATGTCAGATCGTGATGCAACAAGGTGGAATTCTACCGCAATCTCTTCCATAAACTGGTGGGTTTGAGTACCCTCCCAGTCTACAATCTAGCATTTTTTTTTTTCGCGATCCGGGCTGGTAGTCGTCTGTCGACTGCCATTTGGACATGCCGGCGATTGTCATGGCGTGTGAAAAAGACATTGGCAATGTGCTGTCGTCTTTGTGACACTGACTGCCGATCATATGAGGACTGCTCTCGTCCGGTGGAGGTGGTGTATTTGCTGAGGCTGCTGCTTCCTTCTGGTGCTGTGGATGGCACATATGATGAATGCATGACTTCAGCCAGCACGTTACAGACGCAGGAGGCCACAGAACAACCCTGTTGGTACAAATACCTGATATGCCTTGGCGACATAAGTGAGCAGGCTGCGGATGTCGTATATTGAATGACTTTTCGAGTAGACATGGAGTGTGGAGAAGTTGAGGAGAGTATCCCGCAATAGTTGGCCTGTGGATTTGCCACAATTGACTGGGTGCATTCAGTTAACAGGGTTGCTGCTGTACTTTGCCCCATGCTCGACAGCTCAACACCGGCGTTTGCTATCGAATTGTTTCCCTGTATTCGTGTTGATGTCTGTTCTCATGCCGCAGAGTAGTATATCTCAGTCTGTTGCGGTGAGAACAATTGAAGAAGGGGCGAGATGGTGGCCGTAATGGGCTGCTCTGTGGTATGAAGAAAATTCGTCTTACGGTGTTGAACAAAATCAGTTGTCGCATTGGATTATTTGCCGCTGCCATGAAGAGGCTGAGGGTGTTTTATTTCCTCACCGCTTCTATAAGCCTAACCGACTTTCATGCACGTGCTATTTCTTTCCCCTTGTTGGGCTGCGTCAATTTCTTGGGTACCGTCTGCTTTTGTTGAAATCGGAGACTGCTGGGTGAAATAGTTTCGCTAGTTTAGAGGCTCGGATGTCGAACTTTCCGTCGGATTGTTCGACATTGTGTTTTGTTTTTTTTCCGTCTGTTCTGTTTTGTTTCTTCAGTGATAGAGGTAGGTTTTATCGCGTCAATGTGAAGCAAATCCATCGGAATGATGCTATCCGCGTGCGCATTGTTCGGCAACGCCGACAACGGAACCGAGACGAAGTCAGGTTGTTGGGCGTTGGTCGTGGCAGCCAGGTCATTCAACTCAGCGTGAGAATCTTCCGTACTCTTCATGTTTCTGGATCATTCCAACTTCGATGGTCGGACAGTGGGGACTTTCCAACAGCCTGGTCCCAAGGCTTTCTTCCTTTTTTCTCCTCCCCCACACCCCTCCTGTGCAGTGGTCGTGGGTGTGTCATGCTCGTGTCAACATGACGAGTTGTCTCCTCTTACTCGACAGCCAATTGTGGCATTGCTTGCTGCTGTCGGCTGGGGTTTCTCAGTGGAGTTCTATCTGCTAACCGTGTTCATATTTGTCTGACACCTCAGCACTTTATTCATCCATTCTTACCGCCTGCAGGCAACCTTTCTGAGATGTACATTGGACAACCTCTTGTCACTTCTTTCCCATCATGTTCAGCCCCTTGTGATTTCCTCCCGGGCATTAATCATGTGCCTCTACTTATTCAGCCCTTTATAAGGAAAATGTCTGTAAACCTTTCTGAAGTAAAAGAAGGGGTGTTGTAATTGTTAAATAAATATGCACCCATAAAACCGAATGGCATTGACTGTAGCTGTTATCATGCACAAGAAATCTGAAATTCAAAATCTATCAATTGGCAAACTATTGCTACATTATAGGGTAAAGGAGGTGTAAGATATCCTCTTCTCCCTGCCATTGGGTTGATAATCAGCTGCTCGAGTTCTTGGTCCTCCACAATTCTGTGGTTGAGTTGGAGGTGCGTCGACCTTTCCAAGTGTTGCCAAGTCGATGGAATATGGTTGGTGCGTAGCAAATCTCCAATCGTTCATCACTTACCGTTGTTGTTGAGCTAAAATTGGTCTGGGAAAGAGTGGAGTTGACTGTCGAGTGGAAGAAGGGCTTCGAGACCGAAAATCCATGCATAAGCTACGGTGGGTTCGCGGGCACGGAAATCAGCATTCAGATTTTGATTCTTCTAAACGTTTGGTTTTGTAAGTTGAGTGGAATGGCATTTGGACCAACGCATGGGCTGATATCCTATAACCCGAGGGTTTCTTGTCACTGTAAGGGCAAAGGGATTGCGTTTTGTTCTCTCTTACTAAATATTTGCCTTTGCTTTCGACTCCGCTTTCTTGGAACAGATAATTTTTAATTTCGGGCCACCATTTTTTCCCAACTCTCTACGAAGCAGGTCCTCGGTGTATTACAGGCTAAATTTGGGGCAATTCTCTTAGACAAAAGCCTCTGCTCCAAGTCTAGCATCGAACGCAACCTTTTCAAGTTTTCAATGTTTCATAGTTCGCAGATCACTCGGTACCTCGAGCGTGGACGTCATTTTCACTTGTAGAATTGAGTAGGAAAAACCAGCCAACACGGTCTGCGACTACACGATGGCCTTTTGACCTGATACCGCTTTGATGGAGGGATGAGGCGGCATAATTAGCACCCGGCCTTGTTGCCATTATTGCTCATAAGGCAGCAGTTCGCTCTGCCTCATTGATTTCAGTGGTGTCTCATTGAGAATGGTGGTGACTACTGAGTGTACGCACTAAGAGGTTGGGGTTAAACGTCCTGGGAATAAATCCTGCTACCGACTGCCACTGTATTCAAGACCTCTTTCTGTAGCACTTGTATTAATCGAGTGGCCAATGCGAAAAAGTGTCAGCGTCAGAGTGGACATTTATACCTAAAGCCAAGATGATGGTGGGAGATTTCACAGTCGTTCTATTTTAATATACGCATCCCTGTTTACCCCAAAAAAGAACCCAAATCAAACCGGACAACAATGAGAAGCAGTGCATCTCAAAAAAGTCAATCACGAAAAAAGGCATGTCAGAGTCAGCGTGGTGCCCGTTTATGGTCGTTGGCGCAATTGGGAGGGCTAAAAGTGAAGAGCTCTAGTGAAAAATGATGCAACCCGTCTATACCTGCTGTCTGCTATCGAGTAGTTGAATGTAATCAGTCGATGATGCAGACGCGTTGTTTGAGCCGTCGATACTAGGTCAGTTGAATTGAATTAGGCCTCGATGACTCAGTACGTCCTGGAGAATGAAGTGTTGTGAGTAGGCAGGAATAATCTGAGATCTTTAGGGAGTATTATGAGGTCACCACTTACTCCAAGAAAAACAGGTCGAACTGAAGTCTTTTACACCGTTAGGTGAGCTTCCAATTTGAAATGGTCGACTTAGAAGCTTAACTCCTCCTCCTCCTCCTTCAAGAGTGCTTACCCACTAAAAAGGCTCGGGCGACTGCAAAGACACTCAATTTTTTTCATTGATGTCGAACTTTTTCCACCCCTGTGCATGCTCTGCAGCCACTAATGTGATATTACACCACACTTGCGGGTACGAGAAGGAGATTGCTTCTTAATAAGGAATTCTGACTTGGGTTGTAGTTACCCTAATTTGACAAGCGTAACAAAAGGGCATGCAACCCATTAAGTGCATCAAAACGATTTGTCAAACGCTCTTGAAATATGAACGACATAGCATGACGGAGAGCCCTAAGTTTATGCCTGTAAAGCTTTGTTTATGCGACCCTCTGGCGTTTGGGAGTCACTTTAGGATTTGTCCAGCCTTAGTACACGTGGGCTGGCCTTCGAACAATACCCAGACCCATTTATTCTGTCCTCTTTGGAATACATGTACCCAACTTCATTTACTGCCTTCTTCCACCCTATGAGAAGTCTCAGGAAGCTACAATGGTGGCAGCGGTAAGCGAACCAGACATGTTTCCAATGATTTCTATCCTAGCACGTACCGTTCGTTGCATGTACCCACGATGTGGAGGAGGCACATTTACCTTGGTGAAGAAAAATTCCTGGATCCTTCACAATGAAATGGTTTTGACTGACGTCGGCATTTGATTTTACCTTAATCCCGTGTTCCACAAACAAGCTATTAACACCGCCGTGAACTATCCGGAAAAGTTTTGTGTCAGAATTTCTCCTACAAAATCCGTGTTTATGAGTTAAAAATATGGCACCATGGATCACCTTACTTACTTGACAGTGGTTCACCCATTTTTCCTGAAACATATGTATCAGATTAGAGTTCCACTGTCTATTTCTGGAAGCAACTGATGATCAACAAAAGTATGCAACCCTGAATCTGGTCGCCGGGCCAAACACAACTCTAGATGTAGTTCAAACTACCGAGGACACCAGGTACGGTTCCTCAGTCTCATGCTACCTGTCGACTGGCGCAGTTGGCAAGTGGGTGCTTTCATGTAGTACCGATTATGTTGTGATGGCTGGAGCGGGAGGTGTACCAAGAGAAGCGCAGAGGACGTCACTCAACAGAAGAGAGGGGCAGCGTAATGCTACTACTTGACTACTTGACTTTTGGCGCTCACTTTGGGATTTGTCTGTCCGTTGTGCTCGTGAGCTGATCTTCGGGATATGCTCACGCCTATTTGACTTGTTCTCTATGAAATAAAGTATCCAGTCTCACCACCTTTTCCATCTTCTAAGAAGTCTCGCTACACTACAGTGCCTTATTCACATGACTGCGCAATTAGTATTTAAAAGATTTTAAACAAATATTGGAAGGATAATTAATTGTATGTTCTTTCTTTTTCTTCGCGCTGTCGTAAATTTGAAGTGCCTTTGAAAATCGCAAGCGCAACAAGCCACTAATGAACGAGTTGATCTTGTCAATAAGTCATAATCGATGGGCATGGATACAAGCCAAATGTGTTTTAATTAATGTTTTTGAGGCGGCAAGTATGCGCAGCATTGATTTTTCGGGTTTGCGTGTTGTGTCTTTACGGAGAGTTTTCTATAGTTGTAACGGTAAACGTTTCATTTCTCTATTTGTCAAAGAAACCTGGCCTTTTTCACTGAATAGTCTTGTTCGAATGAAATTGCGTGTTCTGTGGCTAAAGTGCTTTTGCATTTAAATTCGGCATTCATTTTGGCTTTGGTGCTCTGCGATTGCTTTGTTCTCTATATTGCATCTATGAATAAGTCACTACATGGTCATTGTTTGTTCATCTTTTGATATTATGTGGGTCCACAGTGTTGTTTCGGGAACTTTGTTCCGTGCAGTACTTTTCATTTTTTGCATATTACCTGAAGCACCTTTAGTTGATAAAGACTTTAATTGCAGGTTTTGGGGCTTTTTTTTTGAAAATCATAGCTTGTTGATATTTTCACCCTTTTGACTAGTTGTCTCATTGCAAGTCTTGCATTTGCAATGCTGCTTTAACTTTTATTTGATACGCTATTTGCTACTAAAATTAAATCCAGAATTCCTATAGTTGGATTCGACAGTGAATCAAGAGCTTTTAAATCCATAGAGTTGCCTCTCTATCTCTCTAGTGTAACACGAAACACATTGATTGGTCAGTGCATCATGGATACTTCTGCACCTCTGCCTCCCCCATCTCCCGCTGCATCGGCTAAGGAGAGTGCTCGCCTCGCTTCATCTACCTCTTCCGCCACTGCGTCCATCATCGAGACTCATCCACCGCCTACTCCACTTATCAAGAATAAAAACTACGCCGGTCCACCCATCCCGTTGAAAGAGAAGCGGCATTCCTCCTCAATTTTTAACATCAGCCAGGATCGGCATCTGGTTCCTCTACCATCGATAAAAGGTGTGATTTTTCTTTCTCTTTTATAGTTGTTTTATTTTTGTTCCAGTCACTATATGATCTTATTATGCTTTATTATGGGACATGATTTGTTATTAAGCAAGTAACCCCATTGCGTCCAAGTGCGCTTTTCACGCATCCGTTCTCTTGATTTCATAATAAGTGTAAAGACAATTTTGGCTTAGCTCCTTGTTAATGTAGGTGTGAAGCGCTTGACCTTATGCTAATCCAAAAATTTTGGTTTAAGCAGAAATTGGTCAACTTGTGGGATTGGGTTTTGCACATAGCTACCTATTTTTCTTTGCTTTTCTGGGTGGTTTGAAACACTACTTTCGCCGAGTTCCGCCATTGAGAACAATCATCCAAAGTTTGAAATAGGAATGTTCTGCCGATCTAAGAATTTTCGTTGGTTGTTCTATTTAAGCTGTTAAAGAAATCCGGGCAAATTTGTTTGTGTAAGAGAGCATCTCTAATCTGAGTTCATTAATTTGTGCGTTTTAAATGCTTAACCTTCCTTTTTAGCACTTATTCTTCATGTGGAATACTTACATTTTTATCTCCTGTGATAGATGCAGCGACAGCACAAGAACGAGAGCAGTTGTTCCTGCAGAAACTTCAGCAGTGTTGTGTGGTCTTTGATTTCCAACCGGACCCACTCTCCGATCTACAGGGTAAGGAGGTGAAACGCAATATCCTTAACGAAATGATTGAATATGTATTGGAGGCTAGAGGCGGAGGCGGTGCCAACGGTGGTGGCGGCAACGGCGGTGCAAATGGTGGCAGCGTCATCACCGAGCCCATCTATCCCGCTGTAGTAAAAATGATAGAGGCCAACGTCTTTCGCACCCTCCCGCCGCCAAGCAACCCGTCGGGCGCGGAATTCGATCCGGAGGAGGACGAACCCACCCTTGAGGCTTCATGGCCGCATCTTCAGGTTTGTATTTTCCTTTGGCGTTTATTTCAATCATTATCTTCTCTTTTTTTCCATACCTGCCTTTAGTTCGCCAAGTTAGAACTAAAGTTTTCACTTCAATTCTTTCACTTATCTCTGTTGTTTTGGATTTATCGAGTAGGAAGTTGCTACCTTCTCAAATACTCCTAATTTTTATGCCATTATTAGAGGGACTTTCAAGAAATGTTTAGGATAGGAAGCAACGGTCTCGCTCTGTTCCCTATGTTACTATAACCTGACTTATGTGAATACTTGGTTATGCTCCTTAACATTTATTTGTGTGCTTAGCTCTTTATAAACATAGGCAATTTTAAGTTAAACTATGGGTTTACTCTTTAGCTATCCGAGGAAATGCGGTCTGCCTCCAATACTTTAATCCATTGCTTCAGTAGACACTTTTATTCCTCTTGAGTCCATCCACTTTCACGAGAGCGCGAAATTACTCCATTGAAGAAGAGTGCTGAAGGTGTGAAGTTAACGTTCAGTGCCTCATGGTGTGTACTTCCATTGCCTTTTCCGTCCGATTCGTGATCCCAAGTGATTTAGATTTTGCTCTGTTCTAATTATGCCAACTCATCTGTCCCATTCATTTGTACTCAATTTTTCCTCTTGTGGCTTTTCATTTGTCATTTCTAAACAGTTATTTCTGTGCTTCTATCGGCGCCTTTCCTCTAGCATTGACGTTAGTGGCTCCTTTCCTACGTCTTTTTAAAGAGGCTGTTAACGCGCTTACTCTTTCAGTCGTCGAAATTGCAGCGGGCTCATTCCTGCGTGTCAGTCTTTTTTGACTTTAATAGATTGTAGATTTCACAAAATTTTTGGCCCATATTACTGTAGGATTTTGCCTCATTCTACCCAAAGGATTGAGGCAGCTTACTTTTAGCTTTAGTGCTTGGAAACGCACTAGTCAAATCTTCATGACGCCTAATGATTCGCTTCCTTACATTCTAGCATCTTTTTACTGTAATTCTTTCATGCTGATGAGTGGTCAGGCTCATTGCCTCTGTCATCATTGCTGTATTGTCAAATTGGTCTAGTTTTAGCAATTTCATTGTAACTCCTTAGAATGTGGGCTCCGTTGTTCTGATTTGAAGGGAGATGCAAAGGAACAACTAAGCGGTTCTTAGTGCGACTCTGGTGAGGTATTCTGGTATTCTTAACGTTCAACTATGTTTTTTTAATCTCTCTAGCCGAATGTATATCGTCCAAGAAATCGTGCACTTAAGTAGTCACCTTACCCTACAAAGGTGTTCCAAGTAAATGACTTTGATTCCGAACATACATCGTCTCCCATTTATTTGAATGCCAATCTTGCTCAAGACAAGACCTTTTCTCACTATAGAAGGGGAGTGGACAGTTGTGACATCAGTGCATATGGTCCTCTATCTCCTCATCCGCTACAAATGCGCGACTTCTTTTACTCTTGTCTCTTGAGAGAAACTAACCGTCGCTGAACTGATATCGCGCTGACCGTTAACTTCAAGCCTAGCCTCGAATGAATGAATGAATGAATAAAGGGCTCCTTGATTAACCCACTGCTATACGTTATTGTTTAATCGCGTGCAAGAAGTGATGGCCGCTTATCCGCTCCTGCATGTCCGCAACATCTTGATGTCTCCTCAATCGTGCTGTGCATTCGCTGTCTGCCTGCCCGCGTGGTCGTTCCTCTGCTCCCTTTATGCGCGTGTTTGTCCGTAGGTTTGCCAGTCTATACCATGTGCACACACAGTACCCGTATTTGCTTGGCTTTCTAGATGCTTGAACTGGTTTTAAACCGCCCCATATTCGTGTTTTCCGAGCTTGTGAAACATCTCGCTGTCCTTTGAGTGAAGCTGTGCAGTGGTAGTCGTGGAGAAAAGCATTGAAATCGGATTAACGAAAGCTCTAGAAAATTGGGCTTTTCTTCATTCACCAAGTCACTTTGGACTCTGTTGTCGCAGTCATTCTGAAGCGTTGGATGGTAGGGCACATGGGTTAGGAGATCAGCAATTGTTTTCTCATAGTAGTGTCATTAGGGCTTGTGGTGATTTCGTGGGACACTTGCCTTTTATCCACTCACTTTGCATTCGTTGGCAGGCTTACTCATCAAAAGGATGGACAAACAAACGTACGAAATTGGCGGAGAATACGTTCTTTGCATGCTAGTTTATTTGCATACTGAAGCAGCTGCTGGATCTAGATGCGAAGTCATACCAATGCCACTTGTGAAGTAGAAATGGCGCTGGATTAGCTGGTTCTTATTGAGCTATAGTATCAAAGTAAGGCAAAAGAAAATAGTTATTTCATAGGAAACGCAATTGCTCTTTCTCCATTTTGGCATTTCGGAATTTGATCTTGACGAGTAACAATTAGCCTCTAATTTCTATCACTGAGGAAGGGAGGCATATCGCTATATGATATCCGGCCAAATATCGAGTACACTGAGTATCCATGTGGTTGCTTCATTCCACTTTTGTTACGCGAATCTGCTGTCCAGCTAAAGGAGCTTGATTTCTCATAGGTTGCTTCTGCCTCGCTAAAACAGTTTTTCTCGTTCCCTATGTCCTACCTCTTGAGGACGTTCATACTTTTGTTGAGTTTATCACCTACCGAGTAGTGTTAGAGTTTTGCAATTGAGATTTCAACTCTACTAGCCAAAAGGCAGGCGAAGAGTTCCATACTTCTCTTTGTTGGCGGCTAGACTGTCGCTCTAGCATCCAGAACAATGAAAATTTGCGCCTTAGGTCGTTCAACTGTAACCTTATTATATCTCATTGTTTAACCTTTCACCAATTTGTTGGAGTGGGATGTGCTGTATCCTCATGAACTTTTACAAGACTCGTATCACATGCTGGGGATGTGTCTTGAGAAATCAACGAGAGGTGCTTATGACTGTTTCCTGCTTGTCCCATAAGTTCGTGGCAATATTCTGTCGCCTACTTTCCACTTGCTTCATCACAAGCGTGTGCCGCTCTTTTGCATTTTTTCCTGCATTTAAAGAGATTATTTTCTTAGCAAATTGGCGCATCTAATTTCATTTTTACGAGGTTGGTGTCAGCTGCGAGGGATTAAATTTCGCCCCTATGCGAAAGGAATGGCCATTGGGAAGGAAAAGTAGGGAAATATTTCTGAGAGAGGTGGTTCTGTTTTTGGAAGGACATTGATTGGCTTCCTCGTTGCCGTTTTGAATTTGGTGGAATCTTCAATCTGCCTTTTGGGAGTGAGCACACTCCTCGCTTCCAGCTGCAGGAGAAGCAGGAGTTTTTGGTCTCTAAAACGTATTAAAAACATGGACACGAAATCTGCTTGCTGTAATTGACTTTTATGAGTGATTAGCTGATATTACACTTTTCAGTTTGTCCCAATTTTTCGCCTATTAGTTTTCTCTCCTTATCCCTCGACGTACCAAGGCATCGTTGTGAGGGAAGGCTCAGCACTCTACTTTCTCTTTAATTTAAGTATCGAATGTCAATCACGTGTTTCGATATATCGGTAACTGTCTGACATACAGCTTTTGATGGAACCTTTTGTACAATCGTTGGTAGCTCTCTCTGCTATAATGTTACAAGTTGTTTTTGTGACAGTACAAACAATTTGATGTTCTCAAGGTTAGATGTTTGGAGGGATATTTGGTCATTTGAGCGGTTTTGTGCAGCCCACATACTAGAATATAGCTGTAGCTCTCTTATTAGCATTCCGTGCACAACCGTTTCAGAAACTCAGACTCGATGATACTGTTCCTTTCGCTAAACTCAGCCCTGCCTGCACAGCATGACAAAGTTTGGAATTTCTAGGTCTTTTGTACTCCATGCGGATGAGATTAGTGCCGCTACTTTACTACTGTCTTGGTCTTTGGTCTTCTCCTTTTCCCTTCTTCCCTTGGGGGGTTTTCTTCATTGTCAGTCATGGTCTCACCGCCCTCGTGCCCCTTTTTGTTTTCTCCTTAGTGGGTATTTACGTTTGAATAAGCCAGAAAATGATATACATTGATTAACCCATCAGATGCTTCAACCACTTTGTCTTGGTAACATTCTTTGTTATACTTATCAGTTCCAATAAAGCATAGGAACTCCTGGGCTGCCCCTTGTGAAATTCAAGGAAATGGATTTCATCTACTACTACTGGTTGCTGTGACATTGGCATTCAAACTCCTCTTAAGTCACCATCGACATCCGCACTTCATTAGAGTCTAATCTTTAAAGGGCGTCTGCTGAAATCTGCTGAATCTAGTGACATAGTCAACTTTTTATTTCCGTTCATTATGATATTCTCGACTCCTCGTGTACGTAGCTTGAGAACTCCATTATCGGTTCATTTGTGTCCTTTCGCTACAAAATGCGTTTTGCTATTTGTGCTTGCTTGCTCATTGAACTTCAAATCTATGTGTAAAATTCAAAAGATTTTTTAAGCTTTCGGCTTCTGGCATTAGTCTGGGAAGACTATGTAACTGTTACTAACTACGGTTGCATCTTTTTCTTCCAGTGAGGGATTCATTTCATATCGCTCTGGACACTTGAGACCAGGATGACTGGTTTCTATGCCTAACAGCTGTGGTTTCTGAAGACATGCCTTTTATGCCAACCGCCACTTTTTTTCGCCATTCCACTGGCCAGATTCACCAGCTTTGTCATTGGACTCAAGAAGATGCGTTTTTCTTCGGTGGAGGGGGGGCATGGGCAAGAGCCAATGGATGTGGCTAAAATGGCGCTGAGCAAACTAACCAAAAAAATTAAGAACGAGGGAAGAGGACACATAAAAGCACCCACGTGCATGTGTGTATTTTTTTCCTCAGCAGGAGCATGGTAGCCTTGTATCGGAGGCGTTAACATTTCACTCGTTCCGTATGCAAATCACATGCGCATGTATGTATATGGGTACGAGCACTGCCTGCTTTCGTTTGTTCATTTGATTATTCGTCCTTGTTCCTCTCTTCCCCGGTCTTCACTTTTCCTTCATCCAAGTTATTCTTTATTTTCCCCTACATGGCTGTAGTCTACTGTTCTCAAGCTGCGATCATTGATGCGTACAAATGGGTTTGGGAAGCGGACCGTCATTCCATCACTAGAAAATGTTGAGTCAGGAGATGGTATAGGAATACTCGTCTTTATTGATTGGCCAATTTCTTCTCCCTTTACTGCTCGCAAAACGGTAGCTGATGGCATATGATGCAG